AGGATTGATATAGGGTGGCAGCACCAGTACTCTTAAAGAAGAAATGTGGATCACTGAGACTGTGCGTTGACTTCAGGGGAATCAACAGGGTATGCATAGAAATATGTACCCCCTCCCCCTCATGGAGGACATGCTGGGGCACTTGTCCAAGGGGAAGGTGTTTACCAAACTGGATTTAAGACAGGTGTATTACCATGTGAGGATTAAGGAGGCGGATGAATGGAAGACAACTTTTAATTGCCTCTTAGGGTGCTACCAATTCCAAGTGAAGCCTTTGGGGCTACAAGGGGCGCCTGCTATGTTCATGCAACTAATTAACAAGGTGTTGCATGAGCACCTATACAATATACGTGCAGATTCTTTTCATTTTTTTCATACATAATTTTCTGTGATAATATTTAAATACCAACAAACACCAATAAAAACAAAATAACAGAAACTAAGGAAATAATAAAGCTCATATAATTTGATAATAAATTAAGTCAGTAATACCTGAATAAAGAGTTATTGATTAATAAAACAAATATATTGAATAGCTTAGAATAGAATAGAGCTGGAAGGGACTTTGGAGGCCTTCTAGTCCAGCCCGCTGCTCAAGCAGAAGAACCATACCAGTGATGGCAAATCTTTTAGAGACCGAGTGCCCAAACTGCAACCCAAAACCCACTTATGTATCGTTGGGTGCCAGGTGGGCGTGGCCCATTGGGTGGGTGTGGCTGCGGTGGTAATGGCAGACTGAGTGGGACTAAAAAGTTCAATCAATCAATTCCAACTTTGTGAAATCTTTTTTTTTCCCATGAGAAGTTGAAATTGGTTGTTTGAGTGAACCTTTTTTTTTTTTGCACACGGCAGTGGAGACCTAAAGCAAAAAGGTTTTATAAAACCCAGCTGAGGGCCTAGGACTGGGGGGATGGGACACGTGCCCACAGAGAGGGCTCTGCGTGCCACCTGTTGCACGCATGCCATAGGTTCGCCATCACGGACCTATACCATCTCAGACAAGTGACTTTCTAGCCTCTTTTTAAAAATCTCCAGTGATGGAGCGCCAACAATTTCTGGGGGCAAGCTATTCCACTGGTTGATTGTCTTCACTATCAGGAAGTTTCTCCTTAATTCCAGATTGCTTCTCTCTTTGATCAGTTTCCAACCATAGTTTCTTGTCCTGCCCTCTGGTGCTTTGGAGAATAATTTGACCCCCTCTTCTTTGTGGCAGCCTCTCAAGTACTGGAATACTGCTATCATGTCACCCCTATTTCTTCTTTTCTTTAGACTAGCCAAGGTCCTGGTTTCCAAGGTCTCAACATCTGTTCTGTAGTGTGATGACCAAATCTGGTTGCAGTATTCTAGGTGTGGTCTCACTAGGGCAGTGGTTCTCAACCTTTTTAATGTCGCGACCCCCAACTGGTCATAAGTCGAGGACTACTCAACCGGTCGTAAGTTGAGGACTACTCAACTGGTGCAGCACCGTTTGCAGACTGGAGCTTTTGGTGGGCTCAGCAGGGCAGAGACAGCCTGGACAATTCCTATTGGCTTTTGAAAGCCAATAGAATTAGACACTATTCAAGAGAGTCTATTCTATTAGCTTTCAAAAGCCAATAGAATAAAAGGGAGTAGCACAACTAAGGAAAAGGGGAAAAAATGGGGACTGCGTTGTTTGGCGACCCCGTGAAATGGTCATTCGACCCCAAATGGGGTCCCGATCCACAGGTTGAGAACCACTGCACTAGGGTTTTATAAAGTGGTACTAATATTCCATGTGATCTTGAGTCTAATGCCTCTGTTTATGCAACCCAGGATCGTATTAGCTTTTTTTGGCTGCTGCTGCACATTGCTGGTTAATAGTCAAGTGATCGTCCACTAGGACTCCATGGTCCCTCTCACAGTTACTGTTTTTGAGCCAGGTCTCACCTAATATGTACTTATATCTTTGATTTTTCCTGCCTAAATATAAAACTTTACTTTTCTCCACATTAAAACTCATTTTGTTGGATAGGGCCCATTGTTCCAGTTTGTCAAGATCTTTTTGAATCCAGAACTTGTTTTCTGGGGTGTTGACTATTCCTGCGAGTTTAGTATCATCTGCAAATATGATGATTTCCCCTTCTATTCCCTCATCTAAGTCATTGATGAAGATATTGAAGAGTACTGGGCCTAAGACAGAGCCTTGTGATACCCCACTTCTTACTTCTCTCCATGTGGATGTAATACCATTGAGGACTACTCGTTGAGTACGGTTTGTCAGCCAGCTACAAAGCCATCTGGTGATGATGTTCTCTATTCCACTTTTTTCTAGTTTACCAAGCAATAGATTGTGGTCTACTTTGTCAAATGCCTTACTGAAATCTAAGTATACTATGTCCACAGTGTTTCACTGGTCTATTAATTTGGTCACTTTATCAAAGAATGAAATAAGATTGGTTTGGCATGATCTGTTTTTAACAAACCCATGCTGGCTACCAGTTACAACTTCTACTTGTTCACAGATCTGTTTTTTGATTACCTTTTCCAGGATCTCCCCAGGTATTGATGTTAGACTGATTGGTCTATAGTTTCCTGGGTTTCTTTTTTTCTCCTTTCTTGAAGATGGAAACCACATTAGCCCTTTTCCAATCCTCAGGTACTTCCTCGCTGCTCCAGGATTTTTGAAAGATATGGTGCAATGGTTCTGAGATAACATCTGCCAGCTCCTTTAGAAGCTGATGATTTATATTTGTCAAAGTCGGATAGGTGTTCTCTTACCATTTTCTTGCTTATTTTAATTTTTGTTTCTAGTTTGTCTTTTGCAGTATTTTTTGGGGTATGTTGTGCTATAATTTCTTTTTGTGTTTCTTTTACTTCCTTGCCATCTTCTCTCTTTAGTGGACCTAGTTTCCTTGACCTTTTTCTTGTTATTAATATGTTGAAAAACACTTTTTTTATTATCTTTGATTTCTGTTGCAAGTCTTTGTTCATTCTGAGCCTTTGCTTTCCTGGCTTCGTCTTTGCATGTTCTGGCTGTCTGCTGCTAATCAGCCCTAGTTATGTGTCCCTCTTTCCATTTTTTGTACTTGTCCTTTTTGTAGTTCTGTTTCTTTTAAACAATTTGTATCCATCCATCAGTCCATTCCAGTCATGGGTTTCGTCCTACCAGGTTTCTGTAATGTCAACTATGTCATACCCACCCTTGTGCACTATTGCTTCTAGTTCACCGTTTGTTCCTCAAGCTTTGAGCATTAGTATATAAACATTTAAGACTTTTATCTCCTGATTGTTGTTTGATTTTTTTTTCTTTTTTTTCTCATCACTCCCTATCTCTTTGTTTGATTTGTTTTCTTGGGATTTATGATTGGTTTTGTGTTCTAGAGATTCTAATGATTGGTCAGCCTTCCCCCTCAATTTTAGTTTAAAGCCCTTCTAATGAGTTGGGCCAGTCTTTTTCCAAGTAGATTTTTCCCTGTTTTCGTGAGGTGCAGACCATCCCTTGTCAAGAGTCCACTGCATAGGAAATGCAGACCATGGTCCTGGAAACCAAAGTTTTCTTGGCAACCAACCTTTTTGCCAGTGGCTTCATGATACAGGACAATGCTAGCAAAGTGGCCATGGGGGCAGTGCTACTCCAAGAATAAAGAGGGAGGCTCCAATCATGCGCCTACAGCTCCCAGAAAGTAACCAACACTGAGAGGCATTGGGCGGTATGGGAGGAGGCGGCTTATGCAGTCCACTGGGCGCTGCTGACCTGGAGACAATTTTTAGATGGCAGCAAGGTCCCTTTTGAGGTATGGATGGACCACAAGAACTTGGAGGCCATGAAGATCCCAAGATAACTATCCCCCAAACAAATCCAATGGGCTCAGTACTTCAATCGATTCAGCTTTACCGTTCGGTATTTGCCAAGGGAGAAAAACTTCGTAGCAGATGCATTCTCTTGCCTGCCTCAGTATAAGAGCTCTAGGGAAGAGATAATCAATTCAATCATCCCCTCCAGGCTGCTGGCAGCACAAGGCTCCATGAGGCCAAGATTTTCACCTCCCCCTCACCTAAAAATCATGTAAAAATTGAAGGAAATCCTAGTGGAGGATAAGGATAGTTCAGAAAGCATAGAGAGGATTTGACGAACTGGCTGGAAGTTGTATGTTCCGCCTAACCTAAGAGATCAGATCCTGCAACAATGCCATGATGTAAAACTCGTGGGCCGTTTCGGGTTTGTGAAAACCTTCCATCTAGCTAGGAGGCAGTTCTGATGGCCCAAGATGAACAAGGATATAGAGAGCTACATTTCTGGATCCCCAGTATGCTCATCCATTAAAAGATTGCTAGGAACACCTTCTGGACTGTTGCAGCCAATGGTTAACCCCAGCAGAACGTGGAAAGAAATTGCTATGGATTTCATTGTGGAACTGCCTGAGAGTTCTGGGAATAGTGATTTGGACTGTGATCGACCTGTTTTCTAAACAAGCACATTTTGTGGCATGCCTGAAAATCCCATCAACCTGAAGTTTGGCCAAATTGTTTGTGCAGTATGTTTATTGGCTGCATGGAGTCCCAGGGCACATCATCTTTGACTGGGGGGGGGGTGCAGTTCACTGGAAAGTTTTGGCAGAAGTTTATAAAGCTAATAGGCTCCTCACAGGGGCTTAGTTCTGGGTTTCATCCGAGTACTAATGGGGTGGCTGAGAGGACCAACTTAATAATAAAGCAATATTTACGTTGCTATGGATTTGCTTCTTCAGTTCCAAGATGTGTATTCAATAAAGTTTATCTTTTATAGCACTCAGAAGCCTTGAAAATTCCTTAATATTGAGTTCGCTGGTCAGACAGTTAGATAGTAGATAGATAGATAGATAGATAGATAGATAGATAGATAGATAGATAGATAGATAGCAAGGCAGCAAGACAACTACCATTATAGCACCATTAAGAAATATTAAAGTTTTAAATATTAGTTTAGAAAGAGTGTTTAGGCTTTGTAATATAGATTATTAGTATGAATGAGTTATTAATGAAAGAATATATAATCAGACCTTTGAGTGATCTGAGATGGAATTTCATTTGTAAATTCATTATTTTCAGAAATCTTTTCTGTTGTACCAGTATTCAGAACGTCTCCCTCTGTGGAATAAAAATAATTTTATTATGTCATTTTGAGGAAACGCCTCCAATATTTGTTCTTTGTCTTACTGAAATATACTAGATTTATTAAATTAAATATTGTATAGAAATCAAGTCCAATGCATAATATCTGTCTATTATAGATTACTGGTAGACAAAACTTTTTAATTTGACTTCCAATAAAACATATATCTAAATTTCTCATTACTGAAATGAAAATCATAAAGGCTTATTACCTGCATCACCAAATGATTCACCTGCAAAATAAACATATTATTTTTCAGACTGAGTAGATCAAATAACTTGTCTGTTGTACATAGAACTGAGGACAGAGGATACAAGCATACACGAATAGATCTTCTCCACCAATTCTAAGATACTTTATCTTGATCATGAGAAAAACAGCATAGCTTTTAAACTATCCAGAGAGCAAATCACTTAGGCTGAGAAGTGTTGACAGCAGATATAAAAATCCAGTGAAGAATTATGTAGTAGATTCAGATTTAGGACAGAATTCAGTGATAAATTTCACAATTTTAAAAGTGATGTTAGCATTATCGTGAAACAGTCACACTATCATTATACTTAAGCATATCAATAGAAACAAAAGATAAAGAAATGCTTAATGTACAAAACAAAGAAAAAAGGAGAAATAAGCAATCAGCGTATCTGTAATTTTTCATTTGTAATGTTTTAAATCCCTGTATTCCATATAATGGGAATACTACAAGAAGTCATTATGCATGATAAGTTAGTGTTTATTATTTATTAAATTTATATGCCACCCATTTCACTGCAAAGCAACTCTGTATGGCCTACAAACATCACAGAAACAGAGATACAAACATTAAATATTAAGTAAATAGAAATTAAATAAGTTAAAAATCAGAATATTACAGTATGGAGATGGGATCCTCCTGATCCACTCCAACTTGAAATGCCCCCATCTGGACCCCAGGCCAGTTGGCAGAGCCAGATTTTGAGGTGGCAGACTAAGCAATGGATTGAGCCATACAGTGGTGGTGAGTCCAGCAGCGACCGTGGTAGGCCAAGTATCGGCAATGGGCCAAGTGTTGGCGGGCCAAATGGTGACAGTGGACCAAGCAGTGGCAGATGGGCCAGCCAGCAGACCAAATGGCAGTAGCGGACCAAGTAATGGTGGCATGTTAAATGTTATTATTGGCCCCAATGGCTTATCTGAGGAACAATGCCTAGGCCCCACTGAGGAGCTGTATCTAGGACTCGCTTGATAGTGGAGCATCGGCATCATCAGTGGTGGTTGTGATGATAGTAGTGAGATAGATGGCAACAAGAGGGGCTGTAGCTGTCCCAGTGGCCTTCCTAGGGAACTGTGCCAAGACCCAGTGGCATTGGTCCTGGCAATCTAGCATCCAGACCCATCTAAGAGATTTGTGGTTCAAACAAATACTTCAGATGTTGCCAATGGAGCTGTTTTTCCACAAAAGAGGGAGAGAGAAAACAGTATCTTGCCTTGCACTTTCTTCTCTAGAGCTTTGACTGCCCCAGAAAGGAACTCTTTAGTTAAGAGTTCCTGGTCATTAAATTCACATTCCAATACAGGAGACACTTTTTGGAATGAGCACATTTTTTACATAGAAGTCAACAAAGACCATCAAAATCTGCACATCCTGCAACAGACCAAGCTGCTTTCACCCAGACAAATCAGATGGAGCCAATTCTTCTCACACTTTAATTTGTATATTCAATACCTCAAAGAATGTGATGCCAGATGCACTCTCTTGCAAACCAGAATATTCTCAAGTTCAACAGACTCCTATACCAGCAACAATTCTACAACGTTCGCATTTCTGGCTTTGATAGCAACCAGCATCCACTGAGAGGTTTACCCAACTGCACCAGGACTTAATCACCAGGTTAAAAGCTCAGCAACATTTAGACTGCTTCTCACAGATCTGGATGCATGGCCTCAAGGAAGCTCTAGCAGGCATCGTAACCCATTCACAATAGAGGGAGGAGTCTTAAAACATAAGGGCAGAAACCAGAATATTCTCAAGTTCAACAGATTTCTATACCAGCAACAATTCTACAATGTTTGCATTTCTGGCTTTGATAGCAACCAGCATCCACTGAGAGGTTAGGAACTACCCAACTGCACCAGGACTTAATCACCAGGATAAAAGCTCGGCAACATTTAGAATGCTTCTCACAGGCCTGGATGCATGGCCTCAAGGAAGCTCTAGCAGGCATCATAATCCATTCACAATGGAGGGAGGAGTTTTAAAACATAAGGGCAGAATAGTAGTTCCTCTGCCTTGCAGGGAAGAGATTGTCAGGTCCCCATAGATCCCTATCGGGATACTGTCATTCTGGTGCAAGGGGGGGGGGGCTCAAGGCTTCTCTGTGAAGTATCCATTTTACTTTGTTCTTCTTTTGCTTTGATGTATCTTCCTGGGAAATGGGAGGGGGAGGGATGTGCCTGGGGCCATCTGTTTTGTCCCATCCCCGGAGAACCAAGGTCGTGGTGCCTGAGAACGACTTATCACCTTCTCAGCTCAGAGTTCTCACACCTTCGCACCTCTGGATTGGCTCTCTATGGACTGTGCAGTTGGGAGGGGTTTGAACAATGAGGTTTAATCTAGAGTTTTTGCACAGGAACTTTAGATCCTGCCTATTTTCTCTGCAATCACTCTCTCTCAATAAAAGATCCTTTTGAAATGCTGCCTGCTTCAAGAGTTTGACTTTCTTGAGGGAATAGCTGAAGTGAGACCTTACATTAGGCAGGATCTGCAAAGTGGTCAACCTGGAGCAGCACCAGCCCTACCATGGGGATCGTGCACACAATGTCTAACCAGGGCAGCGAGCACGAAGAAGTTGAGTATTGGGGGGGAACCTCCACCAAAACTCATCCTGACACAAACTCCACTGGATGGATGGAGGAAGCTGCCGCCCTGGAGGAGCCTTCAAAGCCAAGATGGTCCATTGGTGTGGGGAAGGAGGACTGGGAAGGAGTCACCCTCACCGTGGCAGCCGATAGCATGGCTGGAGGCGCGAGATAGAAGCACTGTATGATGACGATGAATTGGAGGAAGAACCGGATCACGCCAACCAGCTCATGAAGCAAGCAATATGTTTCCACGATGGAAGCTTTCTAGAGTCTAGCTTGCATGGAAAGAGATGACGGGAGGCACGAGGAAGCCACATGTGGAAGGGGGGAATCCTTGACCCTGGAGACAGCTGCCGGCACCCACTGAATCTGCAGAGAGGGTGAAAACCACACCAGGCAGCCCTCCCCAAAGGGACCCTGGTGGTGCAAATATCCGGAGAATCAATGGAGGAAGACCCCATCAGCAGGAGCAAAAGGCATGAAGTTTGATGGAGACCCCCAGCTATTCGGATTCTTTCTCACCCACGTCCTCACCTACATGCAAGAATACAGGCGAGACATCCTCACCGAAGGGGCTAGGATCAGAGTCATCATCCTGGCCCTGGAGGGGGTCGCCGCCTGATGGATGATGACCAACACCAATACCCCAGAGTTCTGAAACTTTAACCACTTCATGACGCCGCTGAGATTTTATTTATTTATTTTTAAAATTTATAAACCGCCCCACTCCCGCAGGACTCTGGGCGGCTAACAATAAAAACACCATATAACATGACAAAACAAACAATACAATAACAGTCATCCAGGGGTCAGATTTTATAAACCCCAGGCCTGCCGGAAAAGCCAGGTCTTAAGCAGCTTGCGGAAAACCAACAGGGTGGGAGCGGTCCTAATCTCCGGGGGAGCTGGTTCCAAGACGTGGGCGCCATCACAGAGAAAGCCCTCTCCCGCGGCCCCGCCAAATGGCACTGCTTGGCCGACGGGACCTGAAGGAGGCCCAGCCTGTGGGATCTAACTGGACGAAGGGAACTATGAGGTAGTAGGCGGTCTCGCAAATAGCCTGGCCCTGAGCTATATAGAGCTTTAAAGGTAATAACCAACACCTTGAATTGGACCCGGAGACCAATAGGCAACCAGTGCAGCTCACGGAGGATAGGTGTAACGTGGGTGTACCGAGGAGCACCCACTATCACTCGTGCGGCTGCATTCTGGACCAACTGTAGTCTCCGAATACTTTTCAAGGGTAGCCCCATGTAGAGTGCGTTGCAGTAGTCCAGACGTGAGGTGACAAGGGCATGAGTGACTGTAAGGAGAGCCTCCCGGTCCAGGTAGGGTCGCAACTGGTGCAACAGACGAACTTGTGCAAAGGTCCTCCCAGCCACAGCCGTCAAATGATGTTCCAATTTCAGCTGTGGATCAAGGAGGACACCCAAGTTGCGAACCCGCTCCGAAGGGGGTATATTTTCTCCTGCTAGAGTCAACACTGGACAGTTAACATGATCCTTGGGAGGCAACATCCAAAGCCACTCGGTCTTGTCAGGATTGAGCCTGAGTCTGTTAACCCCATCCAGACCCTCACGGCTTCAAGGCAACGGCCCATCACATCAGCCGCTTCACTGAGAGAGCTCGGGGAGGAGATATATAGCTGGGTATCATCAGCATACTGATGAAACCTCACCCCGTGCTGTCTGATGATCTCACCCAGCGGCTTCATGTAAATGTTAAATAGGAGGGGGGAGAGGACCGACCTCTGTGGCACGCCGCATTCAAGGGACCTCAGGGTTGACCTCTGCCCCCCCACCAGTACTGATTGCGACCGGCCAGAGAGGTAGTAGGAGAACCACCGTAAAACGGTGCCTCCCATTCCCACCCCTTCAAGTCGTCGCAAAAGAATACCATGATCGATGGTATCAAAAGCCGCTGAGAGGTCAAGTAGCACCAAGACAGAGAATAACCCATCTTGGGCCCACCAGAGATCATCCATCAGCGTGACCAAAGCAGTTTCTGTGCTGAAGCCGGGCCTGAAGCCAGATTGAAAGGGGTCCAGGTAATCCGCTTCATCCAGAGACCGTCGGAGCTGGAGCGCCACCACTCTCTCTACAACCTTCCCCAAAAAGGGGAGATTGGAGACTTGACAGAAGTTATTTAACTCAGCCGGGTCCAGGGTAGGCTTCTTGAGAAGGGGCCTCACAACCGCTTTCTTCAAGGATTGCGGGAAAGACCCCTCCCCCAACGAAGCATTGATCAACACCTGGAGCCAGCCTCGTGTCACCTCCTTGGCGGCCGAGACCAACCAGGAAGGACACGGGTCCAATAAACAAGTGGAGGCACTCATTGCTCCCACCGCTCTGTCAACATCCTCAGCGGTCACAGACTCAAATTCATCCCATA